TAATTATTAACAATTATTTTCAAATATTAATCAAAAATTAGACATTTTTACTCAAACTTTCCTTGGATGAACCCTCCCTATAATGAACACTTTTGTCGTGCAACTGGCCGTTCACTATAGAGAAGTTGCACTGTATTACAATATTTTTATTACTAATTATATGCACATTATTTTTATAAATAATTATCTATTCATTGATAATTAAAAATATTATTATTTACATATTGTATTATTATTATGTAATATATATATATAATTATATATATAATTACGAGTAATAAATAAGTTAATGCAAGTAAATAAACTGAATGTAATATTTACCACTATTTTTTGCAAATACGTCAAAGTATGAAATAATTTATCTCTTGATATCAGATCTGAGACAACAATAACTAACTTCAAGACACGTCTTAAAAACACTTTAAATTAAATCTATTGACTATTTATATCGTAATGTAGAAATTAATTTTAATATTTTATAACGCCTCTTATGAAGATTTCTATTAAATATAAATTATTACATTAATTAATTGATAAATTAAAATTATTATATGATATATACATATACAATATTTGTCTATGCTATAACAATATAGCCCCGTGGTTGAGTTTTCTATAAAAATAATAATAGCTATACGAAATATAACTTTATATTTAAAAAAATAATTATTAAAAATTTAAAATTTAAAATTTAAATTTATTTATTTTATCAAATACAAAAGTGAACTAGCACAATTCAATGTGTTAGCATTTTGCACAGATCATTACAATAGTCAACTACGGAATTAATTTATCAAGAACCTTGATTAACACGTAGGACGCGGATTTATAGGGGATAGTTGGCTTTTTGTACTCGTGGAGCTCGCAGTCCCAGTCGGCTCTCACCTTGGTGATCTCTTCAACTTTTTCGATGTCATTTTGAAAATATCTGAGTCGATTGCGCACATATTCGCGTACACCATCTTTGTCTTCGTGTATTAATGCTGTAATCGTGATATACGTGCGGGCAATGCTGAAATCAAACAGGTTTAAAATTACTATTTCCACATTGTTAAATTTATTTAATATGTGATTAACTTTGTTAAATCAGCGTATGAAAGAACAAAATTGACAATACATTTTGTTTAATCTTTATTAAATAAGCTCAATTTCAACTTAATATGTTTGCTTAAACTCAAATATATACTAGCAGTTTAACAGGTTAATGCGGGTTTTTAAAAAACATATTTACAAATACAAATAAAAAGTTGGTAGCTATAAAACTAAAAAATCACCTACCACAATACGTGCGAAAGTGACATTTTTGAATCGGGCTCCAGCGCTTCCAACATGTGCCCGATGGCGTCCCATTTGATTTGCTTGGTCTCATGCATGCGCGCGTTAACGCGCTTGATAATCTTTTTGGCTTTACCCACGTCAATTTTGCACAGCAACAGAAATCGTTCGTAGAAATCGGGTCGGGAGGCAGCGATTATAATTTCGCGCACCGCCGGCTTTAACGAGGCCGCGTTCTTTAGTCCCACGTGCAAATCGTTTGCGCTAAGTACATGTAATATTTTTTGTTAATTGTTATTATTAGAATGTATTCCACTTGATAACAATTCCAACCCTCCCCCTCATTATGAACTCACTTGTTACATGTATCAGGGTATGCCATAATATACAAGTATATTTACGTTTAATTTACATTTTTAATTCTATTTAAGGAACCTTCTATATATCAAAAACACTATAGCTGTTTCTAATATAGAGGTTGATATAAGGGTAATATATTTTATATATGTAATAATGATTTAATGCAGTGCAATAATGTCTTTGATTATAACTTACAGTAGTGTATAATAGTGAAAGTTTGCTACTATTTTGTCATACAGTTTTGTTAGCTAACTTACTAAAACTACCCATGGTATAATCTATAAATATTAATTACAATTGATGGTTGGATTCGGATTCTTTCAACACATTATCGCAATAGGCTTTGATTGTCTCTTCAGTGGCCGGTAGAGGTCGACCCGTGCCAAATATCTCGTATTTGTCAATCAGGTCAATTAGCCACTGGGCCTCTTCATTAGCGTTACAAACACCACCTGTAATAATAAGTTACAATTTATTTTTTATAAGCTATACAGTTTTAACAAAACTAATGTATCATGATTTGTAACATTGGTCCTAACAGCAATGTTACTGTCATATATAGACATGGATTAAACAATTATTAAATTTTTTAAATTATAACTAATTTGTAATAGTTGAATAAATAATTAATAATTAGAATAGATATTTATAATCATTTACTTACAAGCAAGAGCTAACACAATCAATAGTCGTATCATATTTTTAAAAATGCTTATTTTTTTGTTTTGAGATGTTGTGCACTTTTTATATACAATATGTCTGACTAATTAAATCTGACATTTTATTACAATTACATACGTGTAGTTAATTAATTTTAATTAAATTTAAGGCTAAACATTTTGCTTCCATCTATTATTAACAAGTTATATGAAAATAATAATAAAACTTACCGACAGCTGGAAGCTAGCATATAAATAAATTAATAAGCAATATTTAAAATATAATTAATATATTTTATATTTACTACAAAATAGGCAAAACATTAGTCTAAACCTGTTATGAATGGCGTGAAAAATGGCCACAACTACAGCCACACACGTTATATTTGATTTGGGCGGCACTATCATCGACGCTGCAGACAAGGTCGTGCGTGCCATCGGCAAATGCGCTAGGTCATTTGGCAAACGATACATTTGCCATGATAAAAGTAAATATTACACTTAATCATTGTTTGAAAATTTAATTAAATAACACCAAAAAACAATTTATTATTTTAGACCAAATCAATGAAATTTTAAACGTTAAAGAGTTTTTGGCCGATACTTGCGCTACACTTGAGCTAAACATAAC